CTGCTGAACAATGATCTCAGTGCTTAGCTCTGAATAGGAAAGCAGTTAGACAACTTTCCCAGTTCATCCTATCACCAGTTAAAGGGATACAGACTGCTTGGGCTTTCTATAGGTTGTAGGAACTGGACTAGTTTTACAGACTCAAGATCAGGCCTGAGAACTGTGAGATGAGTTCAGGGACCAAGGGGAACCTGCAGTATAGTAGGGGCCACATGCCTGACAGAGTATAAGGACCTGATATGGGTGAAACCTGGGGGTCAGAAGTCACTTTCTAAAGCTGCTTCTGTGGTGTCCCAACCGGATGTCATTATTGGAGAAGTTTCTTGGTCCATATGGGATGCAGCATCCCCAGGGCTCCATAAATTCCCCATGCCAACGCCTAACTCCTTGCACAAAGTGAAAGCTAAATCTTCAGTGAACACTCTACTCTGCCTCTTCTCCCCTCCTCCATCCAGAGGCCTTTAGAGTCAGGGATTGGGGATACTGGCTCTGTAAACAGGAGACACCCACCATTTGAAACATGAGGTTTCAAAACTGAGCGAGTCTCTGTCCAGGACAGAGAAAGGAGGGCCAAAGTGGACCAGGAACTGCAACTCATTGGGTGGATGGGCTCTACATTCCTCTGACCACTGTTTGATCTCTCCAACTGTCTGCACTTTGGCTCCTCATCAAGCATTTGTTTCCTTTCTTTTCTCTCTGTACCCTTCTGTATCTTTGTATCTATTTCTCCCCCTTCCCATATATAACTTCAACTCATACTTAATTGGTAAATTTACATATCCCTCTGTCCTCTTTTCCAATGTTCTTACTCTCTCTGTTCAGTGACTTGCTGCATTTCCCCCCTCCCTTCAACTCCTTTTCTACCCATCTATCCACCATTCTCACTCTCTTCTCTGTTCTCTCCCATATATAACCTTGTTTCCTCCCTTTCTGTAAGCTGTCTTTTCTCTGTCTTTCTCGCTATAAAACATCAATGTGTTCATTTCTTTCTCTACCTGGCATACATCCACTTTTTCACCCTCTGTATCTTTATGTGCACCATTCAATCCCTACTTTCTAGCCCCCGCCATTCAGCCCTCTCTCTCATACACTTTGTACTGCCCAGGATGGCATTTCCAAGCTCCCATGATTAAATTTAGTGGGATTTTAGGAGACTTGTTTCAGCTGAGACAGGTTTAAAACATCCCTGCCTGGGTGCAGTGCACAGACAGGAAGGTCTGTCTGGTCCCAGGTCCCCCATTCATAACCGAGCCTTGATGCTAGGGCTGGGGCCCTTCATGACAGTCTGAATCCAGCTCTGCCAGACTGACCAGTTCTCTATGACAATAAACCAGGTACCCAGAAATACATACAAAGCGATCTCGTTTTGCACAGCCCCAACGCTGCTGCCGCTTAGCCGGGGGACAAGACAGTGAGTATCACACTGCCTTTCATGCCTCTGACTCCTCCTAGGATTCAACAAGGATGAAAGGTTCCAGCGACAGAGAAGCAGAGATTGCAGCCATGAACAGAGAAGCAGACTGTGCCCTCAAATGGTGAGCTTTCAAAAGCTGCCCAGGCAGGAGAGAGTGGGTTGACTGCAACCAGAGAAAAATGGAGGTGAGTTTGGGCAACAGGGGTAAATGTTTTAAAAAATGTACAGCATGTAGGTAGGGAATAGTAGAATGAATGGAGGGAGAGAATGACTGACTGGCTGGGGTTAATATTGTGAGAATGAGGCTGAGAGATGGACTGGTCCCTTCCAGCCCTTAATTTCTATGATTTCTATGATAGCCTGACTGAGGGGTGTGGTAGATGATGGACAGTTAGATCAGAGATGTCTTCCCAAAAGGCCATTACTGTTTGTTCTGGTACTGGCCAGGGTCACATGGACGGAACTGATGCTGTGGTCCCAATCCTGCACTCAGAGCCCACAGCACTGATGGCGTGGCTGTGCAGAACCATAATGCTAGTGCAAGTGGGTGAATGAATCCTAGCTGGAGGATCTGGGACTAACAGTCTTTCTCCTCTACCCTTCCTTCAATTTTCTTCTCTCCTCCAGTTTTGTTGTGAGACAGATCCTTGGTGGGTTTAAGCTGAATCAAGATCATGATGGTACTTAGGGGCTCAAGCTAAGATCAGGGGTTTAATTGTCCAGCCCCGCACAGACATGCAGCGTGAAACAGTCCCCCGCCTGAGATCATGACACCACTGTGCCAAGGATGTTAGAGTATGGGCAGCACTATAGGTACCTTCCATCTCTGCCTAACCTAATAGAAAGAGGAAAGTTGCATAAAGGAGAAAGAAAAAGATTATTAATCTCAGTTTGTACCTGGGTACAGATTCTGGGACATGAAATGACTGACCTAAGACTCCACAGTGAATCTACAGTAGCTTTGGGAACAGAGTTCACATCTCTTGAATCGTATGCGGGCATTATCCACAAAACGGCTCTTCTGGACCACAGTTACCCCAGCCTTTGTATCTTTTATGTGCCTCCATATCAGTTCCCACAGTGTCAAGATGTCAAATGGGAAAAACCAGTCAGGCAGCACTAACAAAAAACATTTTCTGGCTGAAAAAACAGTATCACGTCCTAGGTTGTGCCCTGTCACCACTTCAGAACCGCTTCCTCCTGCACCCCCATTCTTGCTACTTGCCCTGCCTTCTCCAAAAGATTTACTAGGAATTCAGGGAGTGAATTACCTAGCTGCTATCAAAGATATTTATTTTAATGCAGTATATGGACAATAGTCAATTCATTTTTCTACCTACCTGATTTGTCACTTAGATCTCTCTCCTCCTTTCCTTCCTATGTATGTATGTAATTTTGTGGTTAGATGTATAAACCCCCCCAGAAAGCCCCCATACTGTCTTCTAGCTACCCAGGGTGTTTGTAAGATTCCTTCTCTTACCTTGTTTGCATAACAGTGAAAGTTAGCAGTGCTATCACTGGAGAGAAGGGGAGTAAGAAGAAAGATGAAGATGGAGGAATAGTAAAAACTTGAACTGGGGGGTATTGTCTGGGTTAGACAACCACTCAGGTGGAATGGTTTATTCAGAGATGATCCTGCCTTGAGCAGGGGTCAGGACTAGATGTCACCTCCTGAGGTCCCTTCCAGTGCATGGAATGGGCTATCTTAGCCCATTCTAAATCCATGTCTAATATGTAAGTGGCCTCTGAAAAATTAACACTCTGCATCCTCCAGGTACCATGCCTACAAAGTAATGGAGTAGTTACAGCACAATAATATACGTAGTGCTTTAGATAAGTACATAGATACTTGTTATGCATCCTCTGCAACGCATCTTCTTTTTGCTCCCGCCAGTGCCCTTTGGGATCCCAGTCTGTCACCTTTACTGAAAAATCACTATTCCATCTATACCCCAATTTCACTGGGCCACTGAATTTCATCTCTCCCACATCACTTGGGATGTGTGCACACTAAATCAAAATATTCCATTTATCACTCAGTTTGTCCTTAATTCAAGATCCCATCTTCTCCCAAATTCACTTGCTTTCATCTCTGAAATCTTCTGGGATTTGTGGTGACTAAGTTCTTTTGAAATGCACTAAGTACATTTTTTCAATATACCCAGATATGAAGGTTGGGCCACTCTGGGAACTTTTACCAATATGGTAATGTGGCATATATCTGTGATATTTTTTTCATATTTTATACCAGTGAAAGTCATATTGTAGACCCAATTATACTAGCATAAATGTATTTCTGTTCCAGAAGGTCATTTTGATCAGCAAGTAGGTGTACTCTATATTAGTAAAGGTACATTTTGAGAGTAAAATAAGGTTTAAATTATAAGGGTGCATGAACATCTGGTGCCTCCTGAGACTGCGGAGGGCCACATGGTGGTGAGTGGGAACCATGGTGTAGGGGGGGGTGGCAAGCGGAGAGCAGAGACCGCCCATAGAAGCTGCTGGCCACGTTGGTGGCAAGGAGAGGGCAGGTGCAAGCAGTGACCTCCTGCAGAAGTCAGTGGTGGCCAATCTCAGGGGGGACATGTGCCACCCTGTGCCTCCCCTATGTATCGCCTATGTGAGGGTGTACTGATGCCGATCCACCACCAAGTCTTTCCTAGACAAATACTATAGAGAATTCTATATTAATTCTCATACAGCCTCTTTAATAGCTGTTCCAAATTTCTAGTCATCCTTCCAATGCTACCAGTGCTGACAATGCCAGCTGCTTAACTTTCCCAAATTCATTCTTTCAGTGTGTGGCTACTTTCTGGAAAGTGAACTGATTTGTGGTTGCCACATCCAAAACACCCACTACCAGTCACACTCTGATGCCTGTTATCACCAACCTCTTGTCTGCAGGGTATTACTCACCTTACTGTCTCTGATCCTACAGGTGACTGATGGCAAAGCAGCACAGGATGTAGGAAACCAGAGTGTTGTGGAGGAATTCATCCTGCTGGGGGTGTCTGACCAACCACGGTTGGAGCTGCTGCTGTTTGTGCTCATCTTAATCTGTTACATTGTGGCACTGTTTGGGAATGTCACCATCATTGTCCTCTCCCGGCTGGACCCCCGTCTCCACACGCCCATGTACTTCTTCCTTAGCAACCTCTCCTTCCTTGACATATGCTATACCACCAGCGTTGGCCCCCAGGTGCTGGTGAACTTGCACAGCACTCACAAGTCCATCTCCTGGGCCGGCTGCATGGTCCAGCTCTTCATCTCCCTTGCCCTGGGATCCACTGAATGCATGCTGTTGGCGGTCATGGCTTATGACCGCTATGCAGCTGTCTGCCACCCTCTGCGCTACATGACCATCATGAGCCGCCCCCTCTGCCTGCTCTTGGCTACGGGCTCTTGGCTCAGTGGCATGGTTAATTCCCTGGCACAGACCGTGATGACTATGCAGCTGCCTCTGTGTGGACAGAATCATATTGACCATTTCTTCTGTGAGGAGCCAGCCCTATTCAAGTTGGCCTGCGTTGACACCTCCTTCATGGAGACTGAGGTCTTCTCAGTAAGTGTGTTCGTCCTAGTGGTGCCTGTGAGCCTCATCCTGGTCTCCTACAGCTACATTGCTGCTGCCGTGCTGAGGATCCGCTCGGCTGAGGGCAGGCGCAAGGCCTTTAACACCTGTGCCTCCCACTTGGCTGTAGTGTCACTTTTTTATGGAACAGGCATATATGTCTACCTGCAGCCCCAGTCCAGGGGCCAGGGAAAGATTATCTCCCTCTTCTACACATTGGTCACCCCCATGCTGAACCCTCTGATCTACACGCTGAGGAACAAGGAAGTACACAGGGCCCTGCGGAAGGTTTTGGGAAGAAACCCAATATCCAAGGCTTGGGGCTAGTCACTGGCCATTGGATGCTCTATTCTTATATCACATCTAAAGAGTTTTGCCTGTGTGCTACCTACACCCCAATAAACTGCTTTTCCATTTTCTCCTCCCCTTAATCTTGCAGGCCACTTCCACTTCCTGTGACCCATCATCTAAAGTCAGGTGATTGCCCAACACTTTGGTTTTCATTTTAAAAATAAGTTTCTACCCCTTGTTGATACAGACCAAGTGTGGATACTTGACTCAAGTGTAAGAGAAGTAGATCTGAACCAGAAGGATGCATTGATTTATATGGCAATTTCATGAATTCTTATGTCCTCCTTCCCCATTTTGAATGCTATGGCTTGGGAAAATTGCCTAGGAGGGGAAGATGTGTTACCCCATAACCTATTATGTCTCTAATATGATAAGATCCTTGCATGATAAGTCCCACACCCACGGGAATGCAATTCTGTTTCATGCAGTTTTTCCATTCTCTCCCTGGGCAAGCCACTGTGTGTCCACAGGCCGATTTTATTTTGCCCTTCATCCTCTTCTCAACTTTTTCCCAAAGGGGGAGGGGGGGGGCTTTGCCCAGGAGTAGGGCCCCACCTCAATCTCAAGGGGTGTTAAACCCACATTTCCCACTTCCTCGTAATGCACCCTAAGCTCCAGGCTCTGAAGTCGGCACTCCTCCTGGTGCAGCTGGATCACACCGAGTAAAGGAATGGACTTCAAAGTGGAGCCTGCAAGAAGAACCATGATTCCATTCATTGCCACTGATGTTTATTCATTTTGTACAACGATGATCTGGGGCACTTGTACTCATGATGAGTGCCCATTTTTGTGGTTTAATTGTGGCACACTTTACATGTATGGGGTTGGGTTTTTTTGCAATTTAAGTGAGTTTGTTACATTGCAAATTAAAACACACAGGCACATAGTTTCGTTTGCAATGCAGCTACTTGTAACTTTGCAACCTTTAACCTGACAGCTTGCCTCCTGGCCATGGGAGAGGCAGGCTGAAGGCATTAGTGGCGAGGGGCCTGATCCTTTTTCTTTTTCCATGGAGCCTGCCTGCATCTTCCATGGCCAGGGCTGAGCCGTCAGCAGACCGAGTGGCCGCTGAGCTGCAGGAAGCCTCAGTCCTTCCCTCCACAGTGGCAGCACCTCCCCAGGGCCACCCAGGTAGGTTGCTAATGGGCTTGGGGCTGACCCAACTTGGAAGCACCCGATCCAATGCTTCCCTGAGCCCGCCCGGGCTTCCAGCATGCCATACACCATCCCCACCACCTTTCCTGGTTACCAGCACACCCAGCCACCCTCCTGCTATTTCCCCACACTGCACTACAAGCAAGCCAGCCTATTCCCGGGTGGTCCTAGGCAGTGGGAAGGTGGCAGGAATGGTGCACGGGGCACTGCTCTGGGGAAGAGTTGGATATGGTGGGTGCTGCCTCTGAGCTGGGGCAGCCCTCACCCACTAGCAACCCACCCAGGTGGCCCCGGGGGGCACCGGAGCCTTCTACAGCTAAGGGCCAAGCAGCAGCTTGCTCCCCAGCCACAGTCTGGCTTTGCAAAAAAAAAAAACGATTTGGCTCCTTGCAGCTTTTTTTTTCTGGCAGAGCCTGCTCGTGCCAGCTGCTGGAATGCTGAGCAGCCCCTGAGCTACAGGGGCTCATGGTCCTTCCCTCCATGGTGGTGGCATCCTCCAGGGCCACCTGGGCAGGGAGCTAGTGGTAGGGTGCTGCCCCAGCTTGGAGGCAGCACCCACCATATCCAACTCGTTCCCAGAGCAGTGCCCCATGCACCATCCCTGCCCACCTTTCTGCCAGCTGAGACTACCCTGGAACAGTCTGGCTTGCCCCTAGGGCAGTGCGGGGAAACAGCAGGAGGGTGGCTGGATGTGCTGGCAGCTGGAGAAGGCAGTGGGAACAGTTCACAGCACGTTGGAAGCCCAGGCAAGCTTAGGGAAACATTGGATTGGGTGGCTCTGAGCTGTGGCAGCCCCAGGCCCGCTAGGAGTCCACCTGGGTGGCCCCGGGGGCACCACCACTGTGGAGGGAAGGACCGGGGCCCCCCACATCTTGCTCCCTGGCCATGGGAAAGGCAGGCAGATTTCACAAAAAAAAAGGATCAGGGCCCATGCCGTAACAGTGACAGAAGTCCCTAAGTTGAAATGATGGGTTTTTAAATCATCAATTAAAAACCCATTGTTTCAATTTAGGGGACTAAACCCCTGTCATGTGTACAAGTGCCCTTAGTGCAAAATGTGAGCAGAAACAGGACTTTCTCTCCCACCCTGATTCCTTCTTGTATGCTTTCCTGGACTTATGCATACCTTTCCACCCATTAAGCTAGTTTCAGTAAGGTCTCACCCTTGCCTAGGCTATAGCCTAGTGATTTGGAAATTTTACTAAGTGTAAGGAGAGAAAGTAATGGTCTTGACCATGATACTAGGTCTTACAGTCCTGATCTACCACTTCTAGGACAACCGCTGCTCCACCCCATGCCATGTGATACTGGATCACAGCAGAACTGAGTCAGGTAAGGAAGGTCAGTGTTTTGCGGCTGCTTCATTCAGTGCAATATGATCGCTTTAACACCAGAAGAATTTAACTTTGCCAGTGGGAGAGACAAGGAGTTGAGACAAAAACTAGGATTTGTCCCTCTCTGGCTCCCTCCAGATGTGAGCTTTGTCCCGTGCCTGGCATCTGACCAATTTTATCATTGATCCCAAAACCCGTGGGCAACATTACATGCTAGAGGTCTCAGGTGCTAATTCTCAGGAATGTTACTGTGTTAATATTAACTCCCTCTAGTGATGCTCAGTTACACATTCAGGGTTAATACTCTCTCTAATGTGCTCAGACTTGCCGCTAGAGGGCTGGTGAGTGGGCACATTGCTAGGGGCTGCGTATCTGCTCCATGCCTGTCTTGCTCACCAGCACTTGTCACAGTATATTCCAGGGAAGAGAGTGGGTAGCACTGCCCCCGCTTCCCACTTCAATTACCCCTTCCACCCTGCTGCTGCCCATCAGCTCCTGGGTCCTTCCTCCCCACACTCCCAATTGTCCCCTTCTGCCTCAGATCATCCCCAAACTCCCCTAATTGCCCCCCCAAGCCCCCAATTACCCCTGATTGCTGCCCTGCTACTCCAATCAACCCCAAGAGCAGTGGCAGCAGCAGAAGCAGCAGAGGGGTCTCCCCTCCCTGCCTGCTCTCAGGTGGCCTGCAGCCTATGCTACCCCACACACCCAGTTCCAGCCCCCACCAGATCCTGCAGCTGCCTGGCAGCTCCTTCCTGGCCCCCACTTTGTCCCCCCTGCCTCCCTTTTATTTGCAGACCCTCACAGGGCTGGATCAGGGCATGCATGGTCAGCATTGGTCTGCAGGGACCTTAGGGGTAGGCAAGGAGGGGAACCCCCCCCACCAGAACTTCAGCCACTCTTTGGCTGATTGGGGTGGCATGACTCCAAGGAAGAGCCATGATGGGGAGCAGAGGAGGGGGAAGCAAGGGAGTGATCTGGGGACGGAGGGGTTGATTTGGGGGTTTGGGGGGCAGAGGGGCCAGCAATCTGACAGCTCCCGATCCAGAAACTCCCCCTTTCCCCCTCCCTCTTCACCCCTCCAGGTCTTCCCCCCTCACACACTATTGGCCCAATGCTGTAGACTCTTTGATGAATGCTAGTCCACCTGGGAGCAGTGTCTCCTGGGATACTGGAGGACTATACATTGGTGGTTTTATCTCAGGTGAACACCCAGAAGTTAACTCAAGCTAGATAGTACAGTTCAAAATCAATCCTCGCCCTAAGTGTTGTAACTTGGAGTTGCCTAAAGGGCAATTAGCGCTTGTTAATGACCCTTAGTGTGTGATCGCTCAAATTTTAAGTGCTCATTGCATGATATAATTGTAATGTATAATCTCACCTCGTGTGTCCTGCCACAGCATATGTGAATGGCAGAACAGGCAGTTTTGGGGACCTGTGATAAAATATGTCAAATCCCAATCAGGTCTGCCAAGATTTGCAGCTGGTGGCACACGGCCACCCAGACAAGGGAGATGGAGTTCACGGATCCATTTGAAGGTTGGGGTATGGTGACTGGATCAGGGAGCTGTTGACCTCTGGTCCTGAGACTGCCTTTGGTTGAGGAAGACTCAATAGGACCCAGGTGAACAAAAGAAGAAGAATCTGAGTTTAAGGGAAGCTTCCTGCTCATCCACAGAAGTCAGTGATTCATGCAGGAATTGCAGGTTGAGACTCTGCAACACAAGTGAATCATTTCAGGCTGGCCCATGTCCCTTTCCTTTGCATATCCCATTACTGACCCATTGTGATGTTCTCAAAGTAACTTGGAGCAATTCTACCTTGAAGGGGCATGAAGCCACTACAGACAGAGACATTGATCCTCCCCTCATATTTCCTGGTGTAAACTGGGGTGATTGAGTTGAAACCTCGATAGGGAGCAGCAGGGGATCTGAGGTCTGAGGACCCAGCAAGTGGATGCAGAAACAGGGCAGGAAAAAGTGAGGAGCCAGCAGGGATTTTTGTGAACTGGAGGGCTGAGGTGAGGCATGAGGGAGGCCATCCCCCACATCAGGCCTAGGGTTGGGGAAGCTGGATTCAGTTCCCTGCTCAGCAGCAGGTTTCCAGTGTTGACCGTATGTGCTCAATTCTCTGGCCCCAAGCCCACTCCCTGTAGGCTGGGCAGTGGCACTTCGATGGATGAAGTTAGGTGTGTTTGTGGTTCTTGGGTCCACCTACATGGTTTGCTAGATCCCACTCCCCCTCTGCATGCTTGGAAAGGATCTGCTCTAGCCACTTTTACTCAGTAGTGATCCTGCTTCCCTCGGGAAGGTGCCTGAACACTGTGCAAGTCCCTGAAACATTAGATGAAGAAACCCCTGGCTAATGACACTGGTAGAGGAGAATCTTACCTCTCTCCAACCCCTCCAGCCTAGTATTTCAGGCCCTTGGCTATTAGTTAGGACAACCTCCCTCACCAAGATTGTAATTGAACCTACACCCCTGTCC